CAGTCTAACGTCAGATGTCCCTCTAGTAGGACCCATGCAATCCCAGAGGAACCTTAACGTTAAACTACTCACCCAGAGAGAAACACCCAACTCTACCTCCCCCCGCAGGTTGGGTGGTTATCGAATGTCACCTCTCTCTGAATCTTCCCCCCGGTGTTCCAGTGCGCCAGCTGGAAAGGGGAGAGTGTGGCGGGCCCACCCAAGGTGCCAGTCTTGGGCGGTGTCCAAGTTCCTCCCAACTGGATGACTTCTGCAAATGAATTTCGTGAGGGTCCATCAGCAATATTGCTTTTGGACTCTACGTGATCAACATATATATGCAACTTAAGTTGGGCGGCTCGCAGCCAAAAGGATCCAACAAGGTTTGAACTGTCAGGTTGGGGGGGAATAGCCTTTTACCAAGTTGGTGGCAGCGCTGTCGTTGTCAACGAACAAGAGGACGGAGCGCTCTTGAAGTGGCTGGCTCCAGAGCTCAAGAGCCCACAGCGGTGCGACCAGTTCCAGTTGTCCCATGTAAGTCTTCCGTGGGCGCCAGGATTGCACCATTGTGTGGGGAACTTCTTCTGCAGAGTACAGAAGCTGGTGTGAGTCTGGGAGAAAGAGAACTGCTCCTATCAGCCTTTGTGGCTGACGACCGGGAACATCCGAGGCATCGGTGTACAAGACGACCGGTGGAGTGTCAGTCAACGCGAGCTCTCGTGAGGGGCAAAACTTGAGGAAGGCCAACATCATGTGGAGCGACCATTTAATGTCAGGAGTCAGACCTTGGAACTTGTGTTGGGAGTACTGCCGCTTGCGCAAAGGACCAGTGCAACAACGACCCACCTTGCCAAATAAGGTGGAGCACAGGAAACCAAACTTCCCAACAATGCTGGCTGCCAATGCAGCCGAAAGTTGGCCTGTGGTCAGCACCTGACAAATGGTCTCACAAAGATTGGCGACTCGAGATGGCTTCGCCTCCAAGTGAATCCTACGTTCGGCCGCTAAGCACTGGGTTGAGAACATGATGCCAAGGATGGCGCATGTGTGTGATGGAACTTGCGACTTGTCAGGGTCGAGCTGGAAGCCTAGTTCGGTGAAAAGAGCTTTAAGGCAGAAGAGAGCGGACTCAATGGTTTGAGAAGGCTCAAGGCAAAAGAAGTCGTCGAAGAAATGGTCAGAGAAGGTGTGAAACAGGCGAACAGAGCAACGGGAAATCCACTCCGCCACTCTGCAAAAGTTGGGGACTGAGTGTCCGGCGCCAAAAGGCTGTCCGTACATCTCGTGGAGTGAGACTTCATCAGTTTCCGGGTTGTATACTCCGGTGATGGCGAACCTGACGTCTGCAGGGTGCAATGCGATCTGGCGATAGGCGGACTTCATGTCTTCCGTGGCCAGCTGGATGGATGTTGACTGGGAGGCTAGGGCCTTGAGCATGACACCAATGTAATCGACCATTGTCATGGGGACCTTCTGTAGCCGGTGGGCCATCTGATTCACACCTGACGCTGTGTGGTCATCGATCCGGCGAAACTTGGTGCCCTGAGCTAGGCCGAAGCTTGGTGTGACCTGCACCTCCGAGCCGTACCTGGCGCGGGCTTGGTCCAGTGTAATAGCCGGACCCATTGCGCCGGCCTCAACTTCCCTCTGGGTCTTCTCCCAGATGGCCTTTGCCATCTCTGGGGGACCCCTCTGGGCCATGTGCCGGACCCTTTCGATCATGGCCAGGGATCGCTCTTGACATCCGTTTAGGCAGGTGTCACGCGACATCACTGGCCTAACTTCGAAGGGTTCGAAAAATGGGGAGGTTTGTGCCTTCCCTGATGCGCATCCCGTCAAGACATAGTTGGGGGACATCTGTGTCTTCGATGTGCAGCAGGGACTGCAGCCTCTCCATCAGACAGGTGTTTGGCCTGATGCTGAGTTTTCGTGCCGTCCAGGCTGCCGATGCGTTTGCTCGCCGCTGCTCCGCGATCAGCTCAGACTTGAGCTTCCTGACCTTGGTGAGCTGTTCGAGGCGGTAGCGAACCAATGTTGATGGATTTCTGTCCAGGGCGCGCAATGACTCCTGGTGATCCGCCTTGAGGGTTGCCATCGATGAGAATGGGTGTTGTAACTTGCACGCCTGCTTGAAATGGGCAATGGCGTCGTTCAGCCCATTGGGTATGAGCTGCTGCCTTTTCCCGAAACTCGGCTGTTTAGCTGCCTCCACGGCCTGAGCACGCGGCTGCACGGTTTCGACCGTAGGAGTTGCATCGAGTGTGATCCCTGGATTTCCAGGTATGGATGTGGCTGATGTTGAGAGGTTGGTTGTTGCCTGCGGTTCGATGCGTCCATCTGTGAGTTCTGATTTCTCAAGCCCTGGAGGCTTCACTGTGTCTGGAGGGACTGGGGGATGAACGCCCCAGGCTCTTGCCACAGCGCACGAAAGAGGCGCGTTTGGCCCTGAGAAGACCTCTACGAATGTGTGGACGGGGCATCGAGTAGCCTCCTATGGCATGTGCGTACGCTTCACAGAATCCCTCTGGGTATTCCCTCTCTAGGCTGGTTGCGAAGGATGTCACTCTTCCCTTCTCAACCCTCGGCTTCCAGGAAAGGTGGGGCTTCCCAGTGCGCGTACAAACCCTACTACTGTTACAAATCAAATTCAACCTACTATTCAACAAGGGGATATTGTGGATGAGGGCCTGAGCTTTCCTCCTCTCACTTCCCCGAAACATGCATGAATGGTATTCCGTGGCCCACACCCCTTCTTCCGACTCCAAATTCTTCCAGGACTCCAGGTCTCTGGCGATGGAGTTCTTCGGATGCTCCAGGGTGAAGAACTTCCCCGAGCGCTTGGCCTTCAGGCAGTTTAAAGCAGCCATGTCAGCCATGCGTGTATCTAAGTCCAACTTACGTTTCTTTAAGCGGGGAGACCGGTCACCACCGTCGGAATACCCTCTGGAAAATTTGAACTCCTAAGAGGCACAGGGGAGTCCTTGACTCCTGGGATTGGTTTCTCACGAGCCCGGGAGAAGGTACAGCAATTAAGACCCCAATGCTGCAGGTCTGAGACTTCAAGGTCTCGCTGCAACAGGCTACTGTGTTTAAAACATCCCGGCCCCTCAACAAGTTTCAGGGTTCGGCGACCTTTTCCTCCTCTCTTTGAAGTTCCGAGGATTTCAAAAACTCATGGCCTCCCGGAGCGCAGGTCGCGTGCGCTCCCGAGAGGAGCTGTCCCTATTTTTTGGTGTCTTTGCCTCCTTTCTCCTTCTTGTGCTCTTCGTCCCACTTCCGCTTCTGCTCACGAGATTGCTGTTTCTGCTCCTTCCGGAATCCGGGAGGGATCTGGCAGCGTGGTTCATGGCGTTTGCGGCAGACGATGCACATTCGGAGTCTCTGAGGATCACCTGGCTTGTCCTTGTGGGAGCGCTCCGGGGTACGCGACCTCTTCACGCCCTTCTTGTCATCTCGACCGCCTTTGCTAGTAGAAGGCCGCTCCTTTCCTTGATCCGGGTGGCCTTCCGGTTGCTGGCTGAGGAGTTTCCAGAGCGGTTCAGTTGCGAACTCCCGGGTGTAGTGGCTGAGCCCAGCTTCTACTGAGCCTTTGCCCTTCGCCACCCACTTCAGGATCTCACCAAAGATCTCTCGATCTGCGCGACGGGCCTCGTTCATGGTGGGGTTGCGCATGCCCTCTGCGGTCACTCCTCGCAGGCTGGCTATGATCCGCTCACCATAGGCCTTCACTACGTCGTACTTGCAGACGTCGAGGATATGAAATGCCCTAGCCCTCAGTTCGAAGAGGTCCTGCAAGGCGACGAGGTTGTCCACGACGACCGTCTCCGGGAACTCCATGTCCGCATCGGTCATCTTCAGGCTCTTCCCATCCAC